CATAGCGCTACTAGGGAACTTATTTCGCGCGTGCGTACCTCATTTTGGGAAACACTAACATCAAAAATGCCGACAGAGAATTGCGCTACTGTATATATTGTGTCATTACTATAGGAAGCAGAAAAGATTATTTGGTGATACATATATAGAGAAATGATAGAGAATGAATATAGCAAAATACTAATGCTTAACTTTATTCTCCATTCGGCTTGATGTGCGCGCGCGCGCGCGCGCGCGTGTGTGTGTGTGTGTGTGTAGGACATGGTAAAAATGTAAAAATTTTTTAAAGTTTGTCTTATATCATATTTAATTTTTCATAAAAACTATTTATATATTCCTTCTTTCTAATTCTTTTTTAGTAGTAGACGTTTTTATCAGAATAATATATTTAATCTTAACCATAATAAACAATACTTGATAAATTAAGTTTTCAATAAATGCGACATACCGGAGTTACCTTAATATCATCATATATATATATATATATGTATCGTGTGTATGTGCATGTGTGTGTATGTGTTTATATATCTATATCTGTATAATATTACATATATTTGTATACAATGTATTGAATATAATTACTTTTGCGCTAGATAGCCCCCGGCTAATTTTTCCATCTTGGCATCCCCGCAATTCTATCTAGTGCCTAAATGAAGTACTAAGTAGTACCCGGCTAGATTTCCGATATTGGCATGGCACAATATTCCTTACAGAATTCAATATAGAAATTTATATCGTCAAACACATTTCCACCCGGGAGTATGCAGAAGAATGATATATTATTTCTTACTGATGTTACAAGAGTTCGATCCAAAGTGAAAAGTCCACACGCTGAGAATTCTAACGGACGGTGTAGAAGCTGAAGTGAAAATATCTCTAATTGTTTCCTGCTTTCTTTGTCGCAACTTATTGACAGTAGCTGGCTGATTAAAACAGTTGTTTTTTTTCCCTGAAGATATATTAATCATATAAGCTTATAAAATTGTAATTATAAAAGCAAACTGTATGTACTCAAGATATATGGATGATTTTAACTTATTATTGTTAAATCATGTTGAATACCCAGATAGCATAAGATATTCAATGAATATCCATTATTAATCCAGGATATACATAAAATATAATATGTATATCCATTAATGAACATAAAAGTTCATGAAGTAGACATGAACATTCTATGAATATCTATAATTTATACACCAGGTGTATAAGCTTAAACCGCTGTTTGCTCATAGGTGGCATTAGTGAGCGTACAAAGCTACCCTGGGCACACAAAACACTTTTTTTTATGTGATTGAAATCTGTCAACATTAATCAGTGCACATCATCAGCAATTTCATACAACAACATACATTTTTTCTTTCGTAATCATGTCTAGTTATTTGCTAAAAAAAAAGCATATGCGGGAAGCTTTTCTGTTTTAATTCGAAGAAATCGGTTGCCGAATCGCATTGAATGCTTGTGGAAGCCTATGGCGACAATGCTTTATCGGAAACAACGTGCAGAGATTGGTTTCGCAGGTTCAATGACGACAATATTGATCTGAGTGACAAGAAGCGTGAAAATCGGCCCAGGAAGGTTAAGGATCAATTGCAGGCTCCTTTGGACGAAGACGATACCCAATCGCAAGAAATTCTTGCGATTGGGTATCGAAAACAATTGGGTGTTTCTCAAGCAGCCATTTCCATGCGACTACATGCTATGGGAAAGGTTCAAAAGATCGGAAAATGGGTGCCGCATGAACTGAATGATAGGCAGATGGAGCGACGCCAAAACATATGCCAAATTCTGTTTGTCAAAAAAGAAAGTCCTGCATCGGATTGTGACTGGCGATGAAAAGTGGATCTATTTTCAGAATCCTAAACGCAAGAAATCTTGGGTTGATCCCGCTCAACCATCAACATCTTCCTCAAGACTAAGTCTTCGGACGGAAAACGATGCTGTGCGTTTGGTGGGATCAAGAGGGTATCATCTACTACGAGCTGTTAAAGCCTGATGAAACTGTTAATACTCACCGCTACCACTAACAACTGATCAAATTGCACCGTGCTCTGCGTGAAAAAAGGCCGCATTACTGGAAAATGACAAGCTGATTTTCCTTCACGCATCGTCATACACGTCAACAATGGTCCAAAACTACTTGGAGACACTCAACTGGGAAATGCAACCCCATCCCGCTTAATCACCGTACCATAAAAAATGTTTTTTTCTACTTAAAAAACAGCGGATTTACACCTGGTATATATATATATATATATATATA